TTGTTGTGCTGCATAATATCAAAAGTTAAAAAATTATATTTGATTTCTCAAACACATTTTGTTTGTTCTCGTCCGTTACAGCTTTATGGGGCCGTCACCATGAACAATGTGCTCTGTCTCTCGGTCTTTTTGGCTCTCGTTTATGTGAGGGGTTTGATGTGGGATTTCTCGTCTGAGGTGCTCGTCATCCTCATCGTTTGTGTTGTGATGGGTGTATTTGCCAGTTTCCGCACGACATTTCCACTCTGGACTGCTTTGCTGGCTTTCTTGCTTTACCCATTCTCGCTGGCGCTCGTGTATGTTCTCGACTATGTCTTTGGCTGGTCATAGGTCGAACTCGATGTGTGTATTTGTTCGGGTCCTTTGAGTGCTTTTTTTTCTTATTTCCTGATGGAAAATTACCAATAACATGGTCCCTCATTTCACTTGCTGTAAAAAATTTGAGAGTATTATAATTGGTGAAAAAGAGACTTTTGTTGCCATCTTTTTGCTTTGGATGTGTAGTTTCAATCATCTGTAGCTTGTGTGGTTGTACTGAGATTTGTGTTGTGCATTTACTGTAAAACTCAGAACTGTCCTTTTCTTTTTCATTTTCGTTTTCTTATATTTGTGACTGTGAAATTTCGTAAAATTGAACAACATTACTGAATAACACTAACTCCTTGTATTTGTTTACAAGTCTGGAATCATGCACGGGTTTCGTACCTTATAATATTTTTTTTTTAATTTTATTTTAACAATATATTATTGACCCGTTTATATTAATATAATAACATTTAGCATATATATTTATTTTTTAATACAGAAAGAATAATAATTTTATATATTTTAGTTCATCATAATACTCAAATATTATTTTATCCAAAAATTTATTGTCTTATAATGTCATTATTATTTGTAACACTTATAGAAGTAATATTCTTTTTTTTATATAATGATAAATATTTAATGTATATTAATATTATTTATTGATGTAATTAATTTAAAAATATATAATTATATTTAATGTTCGTTAGGAATGTGATTATATGTAATTTAAAGATAAAATGGAATGTATCCAAAAAATATGCTTATAATATTTTTCCTTAATTGTTTGAATAAATTTGAAATTCAAATTACAAATCAACAGCCATTTTTTCAAAGAATTTAAAAAAAGTTACTAATTGTAGTAAAATCCAAATTTTTAGGCGAGAATTTATTTTCTACTTAAAGTAAATCCCTATTCCTATTTTATAGTAATAGATACTTTAAAGTCACACCTGGTTCAAAAAAAAAAGTACTGTCAATTTTATGATCTTATTTTGTAAAATTTGTAATCACATTTTTCAATTACCTGTTACCTTCAATTATAACTTTATTTAAGGAGAGAGATCTATACAACTATTCATCCTAATGTAGACTTAATCACATCAACATTATTACATTTTTATTTCATAATAAAACAATATATTGTAGATTCATTTTTATTTTCCCAAGCAACCTTCTCTTTGCCACACACATTCACTGAAACAAAAGGCCAAGCAATAAAACCTAGCATCTGGCACTAATACTAAGGACAAAGTACAGAACAACAGTGAACAAACATATTACAAGTGTAGTTAGAACTGAAACATTTCATGTCACAAAAGAATAACACAAGATCCAATAAGTTACAACAAAAGCATGACTACACATAAGCATGTCGCCTCACATAGTCAAATTTTACCCAAATTTACCACATTCAATTGACAAAACGTACAATCGAGCTATACATCATAGCATGGGATTTCAACCACTGGCCCAAATATTTAAAAAAAAAAAAAAATTAAAAAAAAAANATCAAATAGTAACACAAATTGCGTCAAAAACCGAATACACGAGCAGGCTTCTACTAAAGCCGCAAGACTTACAACTTTGTCCATTACAAGAGTAAACAAACACAAATCTACAGCTTCAGATTGAGATCAAGCTTTTCTCCCTTGTCCCTATTGCCATTTCTTGAATGCTCTGTTTGCGACTTAATCGGGAAGAAACTGAAAGCCTGTTCTTTTGACGAGCTTGATCCTGGCTGGTGGCTTTGGCTGCTTTTCAGATTTTCCTGTTGAAATAGTTGACACAGGTGAAAGTTTGAGTTAAGATGTACTGAAATGAGCAAAATGTGTCTCCAGGCTAATTATAGAGAAGAGAAAGCTTAGTTATCTTTCGAATCACAGATAGAAGAAAAAACACAAAAAATTCATGAGCCCATTTGTAATATCAATGCACTTTTCTTAATCTTGCAGACGAATCCATTTTCACCAGCAATAAAAATATATATTGTAATAATATTTTGCAGCTCACCTGACTAGACAAGCTTTTGTTATCTGATGATAAATCCGGCACTTGATGATGGCCCATGAAATCGATTGGATGATGCTTGTTCTTTGAGTTTGAAGGTGGAAGAGAATAAGAAGCTACAGGAGGTGCAAGACTTAGAAAATCTCCCATTACCCTCATATCTTCACTAGGGTTCTGCTCGGACAGAGTCGAGTTTGAAGCACCATCTCTAAAGAAAATAAAAATTCCAAAAAAAAAATAAAAATACTATTAGCAAAACTATACCATAATCTTAAAAAGTTGAGTTCAAAAAAAGGTACATGAGTTCAAAGAATGTATATATGTGAAACGAACCTTGTGAATTTGTTTCTTGGTTCATTGCTAGAGGAAGCTAATTCGTCTGATCCTGATATTGAGACACCATATGTAGGATGAAAATTGTTGCTTCCTAGGAAAGAAGGGGTTGACGGGCCTTCTAGAGAGAAGGGGTACGATCTCTTTATGCCAACAACAATCTACACATTTTGCGTTCAGAATAAAGTGATGTGCTTGTGAATCACATTTGAGAAATTGAAATTATAAATAAATGTACTTTCTTTGAGAGGAGATTTATATACAACATTTTCTGATGATGGTAACATAATATTGTGCATTTTCATACTCCAGACACTGTTGTATACGAAAACTCATGCTAACAAGGAGAAATGAAATTTCCCCTTAGTTTATGACCATAAGTTCTTCAAGTCTTGACAAAAATGTATTGAAAGGAGGAAAAAGAAAATCTTGAAACAATTCAGTGTAACTAACGAACAACAAAATATATATATATATATACCTTATCATCCTCAGGCCAAGATGTTGCTTTATAGTTACTACCACAAACATTTTGAATTGAAGGGGGCTCTATTCGGGAGCTCGATACAGGTGATGGTGAAATCCCTGAAGACACATTCACCTGTAAATTGCTTATAATCAGTGTCAAACTGTGAAAAGCAATTCATCTCAAGAATATTTCACCAAGACTTAAGCACCAACAGATTCAAAAAATTCACCAGGAAGTGATAAAATGCTTTTATCACAATTCTCAACTAACAACAGACCGAAAAAAATGAAAAATAAAATAAATACCAAGAACTTGCTCACAATTTAACATGACAGAGTATTCAAACTGACCATTGGAGGAGGAGGAGGCCTCTGGAACTGATACAATCTTTGGGGCCCACTGCTCGGGAAAGGCAAAACCGAGCCAGGGTCGAATTGCAAATTCACATTAACTTGGGGGACACCAAATGCAAATCCAGCATGATCCACAATAACCCTTTGTTTCTCCATTATTCCTCCATCAAGGCTGCTGCTATTATACTCTCCGCTCCACAATCTGGGCCAATTGCAGACACCCTCAAGTCCAGTTTCCTCACCACCACAATCGCTGGATTGCTTCGTGATCTGGGCCGGGCCCATTGGGCTTAGGGATCTGTACAGAGCATTGGGCGGCAAGAAGCCCGCCGGAGAAGGAGCCGGGGCAGGGAGGTTTTTCGGGCCCTGAAGAGAGTCGTTGCCCGGGCCCGCCGCGCTATTAGCCAGCGCGTTTGCTGCCTGCAAAGCTTCCTTTTTCCTCTGTTCTTCCATCCTAAGCTTTTCAAGCTGGGCAACACCTAATCCTCTCTGGGGTATCTTTTTCTGCTTTGGGGTTTTTGATTTGTTGTTGCTGGCGCCACCGCCGACGGCGGTGGCGGCCGCCGCACCGGCGGCTGCTCCGCCGCCGCCGCTACCGGCACTGTTGCTGCTGGTCACGAAATGTTCGTCCTGAGCCATTTTCCACTCTGGGCCATCAAAATGAACAAACCGTGGGATTTAAAGGGGGAAATCGACACACAGATGGTATGCCATCAATCATATCTCGCACCGAATTTGTTTCAAGATAGCCAAAATCTGGGAAAAAAAAGGAAATACACTAAATCTGGTGAAAAAGGGTTTGTTGTGGGGGCAAAAAACAGCTGGAAATGTAAAGCGAAATAAAGGGCCCGAAATCTACAGATTGTGAGAAAAATTGAAGGGCATCCCAGTCAAGATTGTCTGAATTACAGAATAGGAAAAGAG